AGAAAATATCTCAGGACATCAGAGAGTAAGGGAGAGTTCCATCTTGCAGTTGAGAGCTTCAGACTCTTCAATAAATCAAAGGTAATGAGCCGATAACACCATGAGAATGTGAGGGAAAAGATGCTACATCCTGGTGAGTTTCATCCGGCCGCGCTCCCCGAAGGCGTGGCAGGCGGAGGATCCTTTTCCATCCGACCGAGCGAAACTCAGCCTCCCGCCCCCGCAGCGGAGCGGACCGCCCCGCGCAGGTTTTCCGCGCTGGGTCAGGAACATTTCAAACACAGAAAGTTGCCTCTTTTTTTTTTTTTATTAGTTAAGGTATTACAAATGTGTCCTCATCCCCCCCAAGAAAGTTGCCTCTTACTGCGAACGTTTTGCCTTTGGACTGTTTTAACTGTCTGGCATTAAATTTTACTGCACTGCACCCCTAGCACACGACCTCCTCCATCCACCCGTCCTTATTTTTTCATAGTAATATTTTTCAAGTAAGTTATACGGCATCACTTTAAAAAAAGATCTCCGGCACATGCATGATACGGATAATACACTGGGCGCCGGAGCGCAGCGCCCAGGCCCGTTCCAAGCGCAGCGCAAGCCGTGCCACGTGGGATCGTCCAAAACAAAACGCTGCCTTTACCGTTTTCCGGGACAGAGCGGCGTGGACATGGGGATACCTTATGCGGCCCAGCGGCAGAGGTAATGGGGGCTCCTAATTATTAACAGGTGGCTCATATTTATTAACCGCCTTGTGTCTGACGTTGTGGACCAAGGACTAGTTGCATCTGACTCTCCGGGAAACAATCTTAACACAGATTCGGGCTGAAGTCAGCACTGGGCAGGATCTTCCTCTCTCGTCCATCTCAACCGGTGTTTGGAAATGTTGATAACCTTTGCGGGGTGGAGGGACGGGTTTAACATGACCTTTTTGTCAGGTTTGTCTTTCTTCTGCGTATCTGTACATTTCAGGGTGCTTCCGTGACCTTTCCCACGTCAGTGAGAGGAAAGGCGGATGTGGAGTCGGGGAGGCCCGCGTTGCAATCTGAGAGCTTCACATCTCAGCCTTGTCCCTGGGGCCAGTGACTTCAGTTTTCATAGCTCCAATTTGCTCCTCCTCAACAAAGGGATATTATATCTGCTGTCAGAGGAGGCATGTGGGAGTGCAAGGAGATAATGTGTGTTAAAGACCTTGATCCACGGTGGGTTTTTTATTTTTTTTTTAAGTTTTTAAAAATACATTTTTAGCCCTAACCGGTTTGGCTTGGTGGATAGAGCTTTGGCCTGCGGACTGAAGGGTCCCAGGTTCGAATCCGGACAAGGGCACATGCCAGGTTGTGGGCTCGATCCCCAGTTGGGGGTGTGCAGGAGGCAGCAGATCAATGATTCTCTCTCATTATTGATGTTTCTCTCTCCCTCTTCCTTCCTCTGTGAAACAAAAATATATTTAAAAATTTTTAGAAAAAATATTTTTATTTCAGAGGAAGGGTGAGGGAAAGTGAGAGAGAAGCATCAATGATACGAATCATTGATCATTCCACAGTGGGTTTTCCAGGATTGGTTAATTTAATTCCTCAACGATGCTATCAAGGAACAGGTCCCCTCCACTTTCCCCTCTTCCATTCCACCATTTAGTTAACTCCCCTCACAGCTCCACAATTCTGGGAATGCCACACAGATAGACAGTATCTAGTAGCAGACAAGGAAATGTTTTTCTGCAATGTCTCTCTTAAAAAAATATATATATTTATTTCAGAAAGGAAGGGAGCGGGAAAGAGACAGAATCATTGATGATGAGAGAGAATCACCTATTCCCCACCCCCCCCAATCGGGTTCAACTGCAACCCAGGCCGGATCAAACACATAGGTGGAAGCTCAACCACCGAGCCACTGGCCTGGCTGTAATGTCTATTTTTTTTAAAGTGTGATGAAAATCTTTCCCAAAAGTCTCTAAGTAGACTTCTCACCCTATTCTTTGGCCCGGCTTTTATCAGATGCCTATGACTAAACCTAAAACTGGCAAGAGAAATGGACCCACCAAAGCTAGCTCAGACCAATCATGACTCTGAAGAGGGAGCTGGAACTAGGGCTGGGGCCTGCCACCTCTAAAGACAGTGCCTGTGGGAGTAAGATCAAGCTGAGACGGCCGCCGGGGAGAAATGGCTGTTGGGTAGGCAACCACCCAGGTCTGCCACATGTTGCTGCCTCCTACTTTTTAACTGTTTTGTGGCACAGTGGGCTTTGTAAAAGGGGCTGCCTGACAGTGATTCCTTCAGCCCTAGGGGCAGCCAAGCGGAGCCGGGATGGCCAGGGTACCCAGCTGATTGCTTTTACCATAGCAGTCTCTTCTGTTTACCATAGTGTGCAGTGCAATTTAAAACATTTTCCTACGATTTTTAAAAAATATATATTTTTATTGATTTCAGAAAGGAAGGGAGAGGGAGAAACATCAGTGATGAGAGAGAATCATTGATCGGCTGCCTCCTGCACGACCCCCCACCCCCCAATGGATTGAGCCTGCAACCCGGGCATGTGTCCTTGAGTGATTTCAAATTATTGGCTCCCTCCAAATTATTTTTTAAACTGGAATGCACTTTTATTTTATTTTTAAAATATTTTATGGATTGATTTGAGAAGGTGAGAGAGAGAGATTGATTTGTTGTTCCACTCATCCATGCATTCATTGGTTGATTCTTATATGTGCCCCAAGCAGGGGTCAAACTCACAACCTTGGCCCTAGCCGGTTTGCCCCAGTGGATAGAGCATCGGCTCACGGACCGAAGACTGAAGGGTCCTGGGTTCCATCCTTGTCAAGGGCACATACCTGGGTTGTGGGCTCAATCTTCCTATGATTTTTAAGAGGAAGAGAAAGTGGGGAGCTCTGGCCTAGTATTCTCTCTCTTTTTTTTTTTTTGGGTAGCACCGAGAAAGGGGATTTTTTTTATTTTTATTTTTTATTAAAGTATTACAAAGATATGTGTCCATTTTTCCCCCCACCCTAGACAGTCCACTAGCCTCCCCTATTCCCCAGTGTCTTATGTCCATTGGTTATGCTTATATGCATGCATACAAGTCCTTTGGTTGATCTCTTACCCCCCGACCACCCGCCCCCGAACCCTCTTTTATGGATTGATTTGAGAAGGTGAGAGAGAGAGATTGATTTGTTGTTCCACTCATCCATGCATTCATTGGTTGATTCTTATATGTGCCCCAAGCAGGGGTCAAACTCACAACCTTGGCCCTAGCCGGTTTGCCCCAGTGGATAGAGCATCGGCTCACGGACCGAAGACTGAAGGGTCCTGGGTTCCATCCTTGTCAAGGGCACATACCTGGGTTGTGGGCTCAATCCCTGGCCCTGGTCAGGGTGCCAGGGTGCATGTGGGAGGCAGTTGATGTGTCTCTCTTACATGGATGTTTCTCTCTCTGTTTCTCCCCCTCCCTTCCACTGTCTCTAAAAATCAATGGAAAAATATCCTCAGGTGAAGATTAACAAACAAACAAACAAACAAACAAGGAAGACACGCTCACAACCCTGGCTTATTGGGACAATGTTCTAACCAACTGAGCTACCTGGCCACGGCCGGAATGCATTTTTAAGTTTATGCTGTCATGGCAAATCTGGAGTGTGGAGAGAGAACTGGAGTGGGGCTAGAGTGGGAGCTGATACTGGAGTCCAGGCATGAGAGGAAAGCAGGGTCTGTGTGTGGGTGACGGTAGTAAGTGGCCTGATTCCAGATATACTTTAAAGGTACTGCTGACAGACTTGGATGTGGGATGAAAGATGAGTCAAAGATGACTTCAGGAAGAGCTGCCATTTTGGGAAGGGTGAAAATGCTTCTGGGGAAAGAACGCATGCTAGTTGCCTATTAGGTGTCCATATGGAGATACTGAGTAGACAATTGGATGTATGTGACAGAAATTCAGGGAAGAGGCTGAAGAGGTGAGGCTGGGAAGCATCTGGGTAGATACGGCATCTGCAGTCATAAGACTGGAAGGGAGCACATGGAGCGAAAGCAGATATTACTGGGGCAGTCCAGTACTAAAGGGGGAAGGGCAGGGGCCAGCAAAAGAGAAGAAAAGGAGGTAGGAAGGAACCCCTGAGCGTGGTTCCCTTCATGCCAAGTTTAGAAAGTGTGTCAAGGAAGGAGTGACCCACTGTGCCAAGTGCTGCACACAGGCCAGGTAAGAGGAGGTTTAGCAAAGTGGAGGTCACTAGTGGTATTGATTGACAAAGGCAGTTTCCCTGGAGACGGGGAAAGTGAAAGCAGAAAGGAATGGCAAACAGTAGGCAAACCTCTGTAGGAGTTTTGCTGTGAAGTGATTCAGAAATGGGAAGGGAGCTGGATGGAAGTGGTCACTTTTAAAAAATATTTTTTAAAAATACATTTTTATTGATTTCAGAGAGGAAGGGAGAGGGAGAGATGGAAACTTCAATGATGTAAGAGTATCATTGATCGGCTGCCTCCTGCACGTCCCACACTGAGGACTGAGCCCGAAACCGGGGCATATGCCCTGGCTGGGAATTGAACCATGACCTCCTGCCATAAGTTGACACTCAACCACTAGGCCATGCTGGCGGGGCATATTCACTTTTTTTTTTTCAATAGAAGAAATTAATATATGTTGGTGTGACAATGAGAATAACACAGAGAAAAGAGTGATGGGAAAAAACGGGGTGAATTGCTGGGGAAATAGAGAATGTAAGAGAATAGGATTCAGTGCATAATTGTAGGAGTTGGTCTCAGTAGGCAGTTTATACATAGTCATAGGAGAGAGGCAAGTAGGTGGGTAAATAAGGTGATGTGAGCTTCTGAGTTTACTGATCCCAAGATTTTCTTAGTGAAATAGGAAGCAAATTCAAGAGTAAGGATTTGTTCCTTCCTCCCTTTCTTCCTTCTTCCCTTCCCTTCCTTTCCATTCCCTTAAAAAAAAAAAAAGTAAGGATGGGGAAGGAAGTCATGGAGGTTTGATGAGAGTAAAAATATGACATAATTCTCCAGGCTGTTGGGCGAAGCCAGCTGAGGGATATTTGAAACCAAGTTGAAAAGAATGTGTCCAGAGCTACATTTTGCCCTGCGAGATTGGTCCCTCTGGGCACTCCGTAGTCTGCGTCCGTTTCCTTGGAGACGGAGACCCAGCTGAAGCGCCCGGTCTCTAAGGGAAGTCTGAGTGGCCTGAGTTACCAGGATCCACGCGGAGACTAGGAAGTTGGAGAAGCCGAATAAGTAGGCGCCCCAAGAGATCGGTGCCCCGCGGACTCCCCCGACTCTTCTTCCATTTCCCATTTCCCCCAATGGCGCATGTCTTTCCAAAGTAGGTAAAAGAGTACCGCGAGGTGGGGAAGTGCGCATGCATCGGCCTCCCGCCCATGCGAAGGTGGGGGTGGGGTGG